TCTGCTTCTTTTTAGCAGAGACTGGTATTTAGAAATCAATATCTGGGCATTAGATGTGTTCATGGTTTCTGGGGTATCATTAATTTTCACAATATGTGTGAATATATGTATGTATGTATGTATGTATTTATGAACCATCCATCATAATTTTATCTATATATTTCTATCATCTATCTATAGATATATATGGTGTCCCAAAATGTATACACACATATTTAATAATTGTATACATTTTTTGGCGACACCCTGTATATATAAGCTCTAACACCACAGGTTTCTTGCTTGCCTCCCTCTATTTCCATATTTGCATCTTTCTTCTTCTACAGTGAGAACACTGGTTTCCAATGACATCAAAATATTCTCATTTGCTTAATCCTACAAATAAACACAAAGCAGTTTCAGAATTGCTACATCCATACACTACCAAGAAATTTATTAAGTAAAGTTGAAGATTTCTTTGCATATCTGTTTGTCTTTAGAACAGATACCAATAACGGTATCTCATCAAAGAAGTATGTTCAGGATGCTGTCCTATTGAGGCCCAGGGTGAAGTCATATGCCGGAATGGAAGGGTTAGGCATTCCCAGGGTCAATCACTAGGAGGAAGGGGCACTTTGGTGATGTAGAAGGCGGGCCTGAGGCAGGTGGAAGATGGAACTGCTATTTCTCTTGGCTCTGATCTCCAGGCCTGAGCTTTGAGGCAGCAATGGCCTGGGCACCTGTGAGTTGGGGAAAGACGGTGCTCCCACATGGAAGCAGGAGTGGTGGTATCCCTGGGCACAGGCCATCTTGTAACCAGATCATCCAGCTACATGCTCTCTGAGGCCGGATTCCCTTTTGTTGTCCTAAGCCACAGGAAGCCTTAGCTTGGCTTCTGTGGTTCCATGGTCACTGAGTGCACATGCGGGCTGGAGTGCCAGAGGGGAGGGAAGTGGTGGCAGTGGGTACCAGTGAGAGACACCCAGGGGAAGGTGGTAACAGAGACCACAGTCAGAGTGGCCAAGGCCAGAGATTTCCCCTCCATTGCTGCCTGGATTCTAAGGGTGATGGGAGTTTCTTCAAGTCCTTTCATTGTTTAACTAAGGAGACTGAGAAGGAATGTGGTCCCAAGGTCAACAGTGACTTTGTGGCAGAACTTGAGTTTCTCTTAATATCTGACAACCAAGCATACATTGGAATGCAGTAGCACAGGCCCATTGCGGCCATGCATGAATAGCAAACCCATTAAAGGTGACCGTGTCTGTTCTGCAACGAAAGGCACTAATTTATGATGGACTCTCAGATTCTATGTGTAGAGGGCTGATTCTGTCAAACATCTTGTTCAGTGTAATGATAACTATTCACAGGAAGCTGACGATGGTTGTCTGGCTTACATGCCCCTGGGACAGACCCCTCTTCCCACTATTGGTGAGATGGTTGCAGTTTTTTTTACTGAACCAGAAACACCTCCTCCTGCACCTCCACCCATTGGTCTTTCCTCTTGGGCTCCCCAGAATAACCTCAACCTCTCTCTTTCCTTGAGTCTGCACATCATCCTTTAGAAGGGGGAGCCCCACAGTGAAGGTACACACCACCTCCTCCCACATGTCGACCCGGTCCTTTTGCCTGCTTGAGTTTACTGTTGGTCTAGAGGCCTAGGGTCGAGCTCAACCACCTGGTGAAAGTCCGCCTGCAGCCTTTTCCAGACCTCCTTGCATTTTTAAGTAACGACCTTCCACTGGTGATTCAGATAGATGTTCCTTAGGGTTGACTAAGACTCCGTCAGATAATTTTCATCCAACTGTTGTTAGCTCGGTCTTCCCTCTTCTGCAGCTGACATTCCAGCATAGTCACCTTTCCCTTGTTAGTAAGCCCCTCCCCACCCCAGTCCCCATCTTGGTCTGCTCTGATCTCTTTGAATCCTGAAATGCTAATTCTTACATCTGGTCTTTCAGTCCCTCACCCATCTCTATAAGCTAGAGGGTATTGGAAAACCACGGGCCTGCGGAGATTTCAGAGAAGTCAGTGGGCAGAGAGGTTTCACACATCTTCCCAGTCCACAGGCGCGGATCCAGAAATAAGCACAACAGTCTCCTGGTAGTGAACATCCCCCTCACACAGGTCTGTGCACACTGATCACGCGTCAGAATGGCAGGGGGTGGGGGTGGTTTCAGGAGTGATGAAGTTCAGGTTCAGGCTGGGAGATGGGGAATCTGGATAAAAAAGACCCTTGCATTGAATCTCAAAGCAAACTGGAAGAGCCACACCTCTTCTTGTCTTATTGCCTGACCTGAGACAAGTTCAGAGTGGTCTGAGCAGTCACAGGAGGGAGAGCTGTGCACCACGGCCACCACCTGAACACTTACTTGGAGTCATTGCCGTGCACCAAAGCGCCACTAGAGGACACCAAAGAACTGTGCAGACAGACCCACCCAGCAGCTGTGGATGATCCTGGGCTGGGGACACAGAGCTACTTCTGTGGCTTGGTGGGGCTGTAGGTGACAAAGCCCTCAGCAGCATCCTGTACGACTCTAGAAGGTACCCACTGGCCTTAAACAAGGTTAGATTTCCGGGCACCCTGGAGGACCCCCATCTCCCTTCCCGGGCAGTGGGGGTGGGGGTGCCATTGAGCTGGACAGCCCAGGCTGTACCTGCCCACTCCACTCACCCTGCTCCTACTATGGGCCGTCCATGCAGCCCAGGGCCAGTGAGCACAGGGTACTGACCCCTACAGATGCCAAGCTGGTACTCAGGCCCACTGCCCTGTACAGCTGTGGACACGCCTCCACTGGCCTAGGAATCGTTTCCCTTGCTCTGGACACTGGCCTACAAGAACTTCAACTTGCTTTGTTCTTTATTTTCCTTCCTTCCTTGCTGCTCACCTGGGAAATTACCTAAGCATTCATTCATTCATTCATAACTATCGAACATTGCCACTTTCCCGGTACCATTCTGGACATGGGGAATGCAGCATGCAGCAGGATTGACAAGACCCCTGTCCTCACAGGTCTTCCATTCTAGTGAGATCAGGATGATTCCATGAGAGCAGCCTCAGAGGAGAGTGGGTGGACTTCACCAATAAGAGCTGCCCTAAGGGCACCGAGAGCTGCTTGTCATGAGTGACAACGACATCTAGTTGCTAAGCTGTGTCCCCTATACCCGTTATCTTGTCAAAGCTTCATAAGAATTCAACAAGAAGTGCTACTCATTTTACGGATGAGGAAACTGAGGCACAGAGTGGTTAAGTAACTTGCCCCAAATCTCCAGCTAGAAAGTGTCAGAGCGGAAATTCAAACCCAGGTCTGTCTTTCTTCCCTCACCATATGCTCTTCCCAACCTTCTCCGCCTCTTTCAAAGCACCCTGTCAACTTCCAAGGTGCCAGTGGGTACAGACCTGCCCTATAACAGTGAGGCGTGGCTAGTGAGAGGAATGACTTAATTACTAAACATTCAACAGAGGCCTCCCCTGAAGGCCCTGGAGCTCTGTGAGGGCTGTGCTTTGGTGCTGCAAGCTGAATTCAAGCCGATAAAATGCTCTTCCTGCCTGACAGGCAGTGCCCAGCAGAGAGGCCAAGGCTGTCTGTGATGGCCGGGGCTCCAAGGGCTCACACCTGACTCCTGGTCCAGCCGCTGCTCAGCGGGAGGCTTGCAGAAGCTGCTGGGGAAACGTCTCCCCATCTGTGCACTGAAAGGAGGGCAGCTGGCCTGAGAGTCCCTCTGCATGATGCAATTATTCACAATGTAGGTCAGTGGCCCCTGCAAACATCCTGCTTTGTTAGGCTGCATACATGAACGACCGGGAGAGTGTCTGGGCACGGGTTGAGGCATTGGGTCCTGAAAGGTCAGAGGCCCTGGTCCTGCTATAGACTTGCTGGGTGACCTTGGGCAAGTCTCCACTTTCTTTTAGACCCTGGTTACTCATTTGCAGCATGAACCCATGGGTTAATTTACAGTATAGCTAATGTGAGCCTGAATAACGGAGGGATGACTGTACTGTCCTACATGGACCGATACATAAAAACTCAATCAATGTTTCTCATGAGCCTACTGTGTGCCTGCACTGTGCTCCATGCTGGGGCCCAGGTATACGAGATGGACAGGATGCTTGCCTTCCCAGAGAGTGCAGCCTAATGGAGGACACAGAAGGCTGATGAACCATACAGTACAGCTGAGTACAATGGTGAAATGTGTTCCTACAGAGAGGTACAAGTTTCTCTGAGGGGTACTAGCAGGGGCACCTACTGCATATCAGATAGTCTGGAAGGCTCCTCTGCAGTGGTGACATTTAGTCTGTGCCCTGAATGATGAGAAGACCAGTCATGTGAGAATCTAGGGGGAGACCATTCCTCGGAGAGGGAACAGCAAGTGAGGAGGATCTAAATGGCAAAGTCCTTGGCATATTTTAGGAACCAAAAGGTGGCCGGTGTGGCTGGAGTGTAGTAAGTGAGGGGCCAGCACACAAATACCTGGGGAGCTTGTTAACCGGCAGGCGGGCCAGCAGGTCTGGATGCAGCAGTTGCAACGTGCTCCCAGGGGACACAGATGTGCTGGGCCAGGCCTCAGATAGAGGATCTTAAACCAGGCTGACATTTGGTCCTCAGCAGATCTTCAGTTAAGAGTGAAGATTCCTTTGTCACTCACACACTTCTGACACAGAGTATCCATATGTCCTGACCCTGGCCAGACCCTGCAATACAGTACTTCTGTGTGTCCTGTGTGGGTCCGAGCAGAGGGGAGTCTGGATGGAGGACATGAAGGGTGCCATGGTCTTTCCTGTGCCCAGGGGGCTCTTGATCTTTCATACTCCCACTGTGTGGGTGGCTCAAATTCTCAAGCCCCCACCTTTTCTTAAAAAAAAATCCTCACTTGAGGACATTTTTCCCATTGATTCTCAAAAAGAGTGGAAGCGGGGGCAGGGAGAGAAACACTGATGTGAGAGAGACACACTGATTGGCTGCCTCCCACACACATCTGGACCTGGGCCAGGGAGTGAGCCTGTAACTGAGGTGGGTGCCCTTGAATGGAATCGAGCCTGCAAGCCTTCAGTCCGAGGGCAGATGCTCTATCCACTGAACCAAACGGGCTGGGGCTGGCCAGTGCTTCTTTGAAGGAGCGGGTGCCTTCCACCTCTGACCAGTTCCCAGAAGCTTCTCTCAGAACGTGTTCCCTGAGCCATCCAGCTTTTCTTTTAAATTTCAAATTTGATTTTTGAAATAGATGGTAAAATTGGAAGGTGAGTGTGTGTATAGAAATGTGATGGTGGGGGAGGGAGGATGTCTAACCTTTGGGCTGCATTGCAGAGTCTAGAGATGCTCTCTTTCCTGGGAAAGCAGTTGAGTCACAGCCTCTTTTGGGGACAACGGGCGGGGGACGGGGGGTGTCATCTCATCAAGGAAACCTGGGCAGGGAGGGGAAAGGGCACTTGGTTCAGACCCCAAGTCCAGCTGTATGACTTTGAACACATCTCTAAGTCTGATTCCTCGTCTGCAACCTCCCAGCATTGGCAAGACAATCAAAGGAGGTAACTGGGGTGAATAGCAGGCTTCAGAGAGTGGAAAGCCCGCTCCGTGTGTGTAACCCGTCATCATTATCTCCCACTGCAGAGTCACAGCGTGCTGGAGCCGGGAGGAACCTTCCAGATCCCTCTGGGCTGGGCTGCTTATCTCAACAGCAGCAGCCCCACATCTCTGAGGCAGCAAAGCTAAAAGCTGTCGTTTCAAGGTAAGAATTTTTTTTAGAATGTTTGATTACGAGTTAGAGTGAATGTTTTCAGAATCCCAGGCCGGGAAGGGACCTGTGAGATCACCCACCAGGTGATCTCAACACTGGCCAGCCCCAGCCAATTTGGTTCAGTGGATAGAGCATCTGCCCTCGGACTGAAGGCTTGCAGGGTTTCTCAACAGGGCACTTTCTGCATTGTCTTCTTTGGAGGGGACACGGTTCTCTGTTGTGAGGAACTTGCCTATTCAGTGCAGGGCACTCAGTGCCCTGGCACTTGGGTACTAATGGCCACGAATGTCTTCTGGTCACTGTGACAGTCCACATCTCCCTCCCCTGACTCCCCATTTCCAAACACAGAGGATTATGCACTAGTCCAATGCCTCTTTTTACAGGTGGGGAAACAGGCCCAGGAAAGGACTCTAGCAAGAGGGTGACTGAATGGAGACCCGGATGCAGGTGTCCTGACCTGTTCCATGCCCCATGCCCTGGGCCATGCTGTGGGTTGGCACAGGAGGGGCCAGCCTCGTGGGCTGCCCACCAGCCAGCATTTATCTGGACTTACATTTTTGGGCTGAGCACTGCCTCGCCAGCCCCCTGGAGCTGGATGAGGGCTACCCTCTGACTTTGGACTCATCCAGTCTGCCGGTGCTGTGCGCCTTGCTCTGGTGCACTTGGGGCAGCGTCCAGAGCAGCAGGCATGGGGTCCAAAGCCACTCACCGGATGTCTGTGGGGTGGGAGAGGTGGCCGGGCACTGGCTGAGAAGCAGAGGCAACCTGAGTTCAGCATTAGGACACCAGTGGGCCAGCAGATCCCTGCCTGGTCCTGATCACAGAGGCATCCTTAATTTGACCTTGGAATCTAGCGTGAATTTCTGTGGTTGTGTAAGGGTCAGAGCTGGGGTGGGGATCCTCGTGGGGAAGTTAAGGGCTGACAAGTGCAGTGATAGGTCCTAACATTCCTAGCCCTTTGCAGCTCATAAATCCTTCTACTGCAGCGGTTCTCAACCTGTGGGTCGCGACCCCGTTGGGGGTCGAATGACCCTTTCACAGGGGTCGTTCGAAAATACATACTGCATATCAGATATTTACATTACAATTCATAACAGTAGCAAAATTACAGTTATGAAGTAGCAACAAAAAGAATTATATGGTGGGGGTCACCACAACAATAGGAACAGTATTAAAGGGCCGTGGCATTAGGAAGGTTGAGAACCACTGTGGCTGGGATTTCTCTGATTTTGACCTCAGGGCAGACCTTCAGGGTGAAGGAGCCAGGAATTTTACACCCGTTACAGGTGAGGAAATAGGCTTAAGGTGACACAGTCAGAAGCAAAGCCAAGCTAAACCTAAGCCAAGCAAAGCAGGTGGGAGGTGCATCTCAACTTTTGTCATTCCCTTCCCTGTGGCTGGGCTCTGTGCCCATCCCTGTGGAGGCGGGCCTTCAGGGATGCCCCTCTTCTCCTTGGGCCTGTCTCTGGGGCCCCTGGGCAAGCCCTGAGCAGGAAGAGCTCACAGGTATGACTGCTGAATCCACAGCCAAGAGGTGCTGGGTGAAGCGGGGCTTCCATGAGACACACTGTGGACATGGTGATGGCATCCCTGCTGCCTGGGCATGTAGGTCAGTACTTAAAACTCAGGTGGTTTCACTGGAACACCCAGATTTCTGGCTCCTTTCGGAAACGAGACACTGGGCAGCACAGGGCCCGCTCATGAGCCTGGCGCATCTGCCAACGCCCCACGACTGGGCTGCCGGTCCAGCGGGTCTCCAGGCCTTGTTCCAGAGTCAAGTGAGTGCCTGGAAGACCTTGTAATTTTAAGGACACTTTGAAGTAAGTGTGACAGCTTTTCTTGTTAAGTTGGCAAAGAAGTGAGGAGAGACTAGTGGTGACTGAGAACAGCTGATGTGCGTGAGGAAGGCGCCCGTTGCGCTCTTGTGCTGGAGGAGATGTGGCTGGAGGAGAGCTCCCCCAGGGAGAGCCACGGCTTCGGAGGAAAGTGCCGGCTCTGGAAGGGCAGTGCCATGTGCACCTAGCATTCCAAGGAGGCCCAAACCTCTGCGGGAACCAGGAGAGGGGGGCGGGAGGAGAGAGAGGTGAGAAAGAAGAGAGGTAGGAGAAGGAGGGAAGCTGGTTGGGCCACATGGTCCTTCCCCTCAGATTTCTGCACCTTCTAAAGTTCTATTAAAATTCAGGAAATGGCCCGGCCGGTGTGGCTCAGTGGTTGAGCATTGACCTATGAACCGGGAGATCAGGGTTCAATTCCCGGTCATGGCACATGCCTGGGTTATGGGCTCAATCCTCAGTAGGAGGTGTGTAGGAGGCAGCCAATCAGTGATTCTCTGTCATCATTGATGTGTCTACCTCTCTCTCCCTCTCCCTTCTTTTCTGAAGTCAATAAAAATATATTCTTTTAAAAAAGAAAGCTGCCCAATGTTGACCTTACCTCTGAGCTCATCCTGTAAATCCAATTGCCTGCTTGCTAACTCCACTGGTAAATCTCTCAGGCATCTCAAAGTTAACAAGTTCGTAAGTGGAGCCTATTATTTCAACCACTCTCCCTAAAACCTGCTTGTCCCAGCATCAGCACAG